AGCTGGAGTAGCTGAAGAGGCAGCTTTGCTTGAAACCAGCCAGGGTTTGTCCTGGGAGAGGAGTCTGTGGAATCAGGAACTGGGACAATACTTGGTTCCAGTTGATTTGCTCCTATCCTACACTGCTGCTTTGCTGCTGAACTGATTTGTACCTCTGGGAGCCTGGGGAGATCATTCAGACCAACTCATTCCTCTGTCTCCCTTCGAAGAAACGTGATGATATCTCCAAGATTTGGCTCAAAACCATTTTAGATCCCTGGGCTTCCCCAGTCTCCTGGGAAACACCTGTTCCTTTTGGCTGCCTGATATTGTTTGTCTTCTGAACCAAGTGAAAGCTGGAAAGAGCAGCTCTTTCCTTACCTGCACAGCTTGTGGCTTAAAAATATCCCCTCTGTGCCTGTTTTTCACTCCCAGGGTGTATTTTATCCCACTTTGAATGCAGAATAAATGTTTGGGCTTCTGAACTCCTTTTTTCCTTACTCAAAAATGGACACTTCTGGAAGTAAGTTGGATAGGGAAGGGAAAAAAAAAATGGGAGGTGATTGAAAAAGTGCAGCTCCAGGCTGGGTATAATTAACTGCTCTTTGTCTCTTGCATGCAGGACAAGTTGTGGCTTAGACTGGTGGGGAACTCCCTGCACTGGGCATGGCTCAGCATGAGAAAAGGAGAGGGTGGCTCTTGGCAGGAGAATCCCCATTAGGGAAGACTTGCAAAGCCAAGCACATCCCTGCAAAAGGAGAGAGGGAATTTACTCTCAGGGATTTGGTTAAGAACAGCCCTAGGAGCAGGTTTCTGTGTTCATTAGTCTGTACCTTCAGGGTGGGTGTAAATACTAAGTCTGGGTAAGAAAGGAGGAAGAACAGGGAAAAAAAACTGCTCACCTTGGGCAGGGTGTTTGGGTGGGTGAGGAAGATCTGGGCCCAAAGCTGAGGTCCCTGGCAGCAAGGAGGCTGAGCTGTGGCAGGAGCAGAGCCTGCCTGTGCCAGCAGCTCAGCCATCACCCCTTCCCCAGGCACTGGTGCCAATGGGTGGTAAAAACAATCCCTGGAAGATGATCTGGTGTTTGACGCTTCCTCAGGCCCTTCTTAAAGAGGTCCTAGAAGGATGGAAATCAAATACTCCAACACAGGGGACATTCAGACCCATCCATGAGAGCCCTTTAGGCTTCTCTTCCTTCTGCCTGGAACAGAAGAGGCTTTGGAAGGGGAGAAGCAGCTTGGGCAGAGGGGGCTGCTGCCTTCCCTTGGAGCACAGGGATGTTAATAGCTCCAGTCAGGCTTCCTCCTCCAGGGAAACTCTTGATTCAAGAAGTAGGAATTGTACTTGGAGCTGTCAGCAAACCAGGTATCTATGGACTATGCGATGGTTCCTCCTTCTCCTTCCAGAATTTACCTGCCCTAGACTTGGTCTCCCTGAGGTCCCTTTTCCAGTGGCAACAGACTCCTTGGCCTCCCCTTTGACTGATTCCTCAAAGGAATGGCCTATGATGATGTAGCTGGGATTATACTGAAATGAAAAAGGAAGTCATGGAGCAAACCAGGAGAGGAGCAAGTCAGGCAAGGCCTCCAGCCCCTTGCAAGCACAGTGAGGACAGCACTGCTGAGAGCTGGCAGGATGGAGGGGCTTGCAAGTACAGTAAAATGAGTGTTTGCCATCAAAAGGCAACAAGTCTGATGTTGTGCCCCCGGCTGCTGACCTTTCCCTCTGGAATTCTCCCCTCTGACCTCTGGATCATTAATCCTGATGCTGCCAGATGACAGTAATCCATCATGGCCCCTGACAGGCCTTGCAGCAGCCTGTGAAAGGATCCTCTGGGCTTCAGCATCCAACTGTCCCATGATACTCGTTTTGCTGCCTTTCCTGTTGGAGTGCTGGGGGTTTCCCATAAAGACTTTATCACCCCTGCCTTTCCCTGGAGCAGGGCTGGGGGAGGAGGGGGCTGGGGAACAGCTTTCCCCTGCTTCCCAGCTCCTGGAGAACACGCAGAGCCCCTTCCTTGAGGAGCACAGGGAATTTCCCAGCTCCAAAACCCCAAATTGCTCTTTGCTACCTCACTCCTTGGAGGGAGAAAACACAGGAGGGAAATGATTTCATCCCTTATTCTGCAGGGGTAGGAAGATGGAAGTAGTTTTGTCCCTGCTGTCAACTTTCTCAGCCTGCATAAAGAAGTGGTGTGGGTTGTGGGTTTTTTTTTGGGGGGGGGGAAGAAAAAGCTACAGGTTTTAGTTTCCTTTACAGAGTTGCTGCTTTCAGGGCACTTTGGTCTGTGGGTCTGGCTGAAAAGCAGACTTCAGGAAAGGGAGGTGTCAAAGGGGTGGTAAGATGAGGTGGGGAGGTCAGATCTTGATAGCTGTTTCTACTCCAGCCAGGAGCCCACCCTCTGGAAAAGGATTGAAGCCTTTCTTTCCCACTCTTCCTCTTTCACAGGAGTGTTTGGATAAATTGCCTTCTGTCACTTTGGAGATGCTGAGATGGGAGAGGCTAGAGAAGAGTCAAACTGTTTAGGATAAATGCAGTGTATTAAAAGCAGGTATTTCCTTCTGTATCAGCAGCTTGTTTGCCTGAGGAGCCTTTCCCACCACCCTTCCTTTTCACTCCCCATCTGCTCACTGTCCAAGGAGAGCTGGATGAAAGTCCCTTAATGCCATTCCCTAAATTGGATTGGGGAAAAGTGAGTGGCTTTGAGCTTTGAAGAGCAGGGAAGAGGGTCCTGATGCTACCCCCAAAGGCTTTGCTGGCAGCTGCTTGGGACACCCCACCTGCCCTTGCTACTGGGGCAGAAATGCTGAACTGTCCATGAAAGGACAATTTTGAGGTGGGAAGAAAACCAAACACAAGCCACCCTTGGCTCTTAGAGACCTCAGAGATAAATACTTCCCTGCTTTTCATTTGGAGCAGGCTGGGTGTGACTCCAGCTACTGTGGCTCAGCTGATGAATGATAACTTCAGGCTGGTAACATGATCACTCCCAGCCCTCTCTGCCTGTCTGAAAATGATGCTGTGCTCTTCATCTTTGCCATAACCCCGAGACAAAATGGTGGCTGAGGGAGAAACTGAAGCAAACAGGGTTGTGTTTACACGGGGGGAAGCTTTGGAGAAGGGAGCAGCTCCTGGTTTGGGGTGGCTGGCTGGAGCTGCAGAGTGTTTCAGCACTTTGGAAATGCTGCTTTTTTTTGTTGTTGTGTCTGAAATGCAGGAAAAGGATCTGATGCAGTTTGTGAAATGACTGCTTTGTGGACTTTTCTGGGAGGGTGGAGGGGGGGGACAGGCAAGGGGTTGTTTATACAAGGCAAGGGAA